TTTATATAATAAATTGTTTATGGTAGGTAATTTGTCTTATCAGAGTAGGTATATCAGATTTTGTTTTTCTATATATATGTATATTATAGGTAATATTGGTAATATCCACGTAAGATTATTAACAATTAATTAACAACATATTCACATAATTTAAATATATTTACTTTCTAAAGTTTTTGATATTTATAATAAATTACAAATAACATACATTTAAGTTGAACTTTATGTATATAGATAGTATAGAAAATAACGAACCGGTATAAGACATTATTAGTTTACCTTGTTAAAGCTTACGCTGGGGTATAGATTTTAATAATAAGTTAGAGTAATAAGTAATTTATTTAATCACTGTTAAAATGGCAAACTTTATTGATGATAAATTAAAACAAACTTTTTGTAAAATCCATGCATTATAATAATAACCTTATCCCTGACTTTCAACTGCGTTATGTATCGTGTTCTATTTGTACATTTACGTTTGAATTATTGTATAAATAAATACTATAGAGTGCGATTATTAATAATTCGTCCTGGGGATTTGCAGAAGAAGTATATCGAGCAGATAGTACTTGTGTGCATTTTAACGACTGCAAAGCCATTTTAGAACTCTGTAATTTTATTCCATCATAATAATTGAAGTAACAAATCACACAACACAATGTTCCTCCTAAACCAACTTGTATTTTATAATCATATAATCGTTCCGGTATTATAATCTATGACATTTGTGCCATATACGATGTACGATATACATATACAAACACACACACACACACACACACACGTCACACACATACGCCATATACGCGTAGCAGTAAAAGGGAAGAGATAATATTATTTAAGTAAATATTGTATAATATACATTTTACCTATAAATAATATTACTGAATTATACTAACGAATAAAACATTGATCGACTTCGAGACCTAAAAATAGATTATCAGAAAAAAATACGAGTACACAATGTAATAAGTACACATTGAAATTCTTAACGTCTCTTCAGATATTAGTCATTAGTGAGACGGCTGACATGGCAAATGGTCTATTTTAGTTATAACTACGACAGTTAGTTACAATCAATATAAATTATTTTATCGAGTTGTTTGTACTGCAGGATATGTGAAATATTAGACTTATCCCTTTAAAATTTCACTGAGCAAGACTATATCGGCTAACATATTGCAACGTCGGCGGAGTCTTTAGACAAAGATTTAAACCTATTCGAGAGATGATACGAGTTGATCGAACTATGTAACCGTTATATTCGTAGACAACACATTTATCTGGTTTAAATCCTACTCGTGACAATACAAATTATAGTACCTATTCGAGGCCCAAGTTTGATCTAAGCTTAGGTAAATTTGTCGATTAATAACAGGTGCAGATGTCAAGACCGTAAAGCCCAATCGTTAAGTTACAGTCAAGTTGCGGTTTGTGACGGTTAAAACTTTTTGCTTTTCGTGAATTATACGTTTATATATTTTAATAACGTGAACACAAACAATTATTCATTTGTCCATCATTTATATATTGGACAGCTTAAACGAAGTATTGAGAGTTGACCGGGGTGAAAGTGTTTGATTTTGTCGATTCGATTGAAATTTATTCGTTTAGGACCACTGTTTGGTCAGTTACGGATCCAAGGACGAGAGGTATAGTTGGAAGGAGGAAGGCGAAGGGACATTTATTACCCCCCTCCCTCCATTGAAATACGAACACCAATCGTCCTACTTTAATTTACTTTTATTTTATTGATTTGTGTTATTACTGATGTAAAAATAAAATGTCCCTATCATCCTCCACTCGAGTGTAGGGGGAGATAGACTCTTCCCTCACAAAACGTATTATGTCCATGACCTCGAAAAACGAAGTGCCACGTTTGTTTTTCTAAGTACCTATACCTACATAGGTACAACTACGTATGCGCGAGATGCGCGTGGGATTACCGCGAAATGTACATAACAGTCCAAAACTGTTCCAAAACGAAACGTGCCTAAACATATATTTTGCCGGATGAAATGTGCACTGTGGGAAAACTGATGACTCTGCCTCGTTCGCTATACCATAATGTTACGTACATTATTGTCTTAAACGCATACAGACCCTAAAAATGATTTCTTACGTTTCTATTTATTCTCCGGTCATTCCACGAACAATCGTTTAGACCGGCAGCAGGTTACGTTTAACGTTATTTTTATTCATACCCAAAGTCTTATCTCGTCTGTTGTGCGTTTAAAGCTTAAACCAAGCGAATCGCTCAAACGTATTTATGAGTAGGCACTTGCTGCAAATCTATATAATATAATCGAGAAACGGATATTATTTTTGTTTGAAAACGAGAACAATTAGGGACTAGGGTCATTATTATATTTACTATAATGCAAGTATCATAATTTTTATTTCATAAGTAAAGCATTATCATAATATCGGATTCGAGTAAGTATTTATATTAATTGTGTACGAGAGCAAAGATTAAATAAAATAACGTTCAATAACGAACAATTACAACCTGGAAATATTCGGTGAATTACTAAAAAAGATATATAATATTTTAATCCTTCCGAATAACGAAGAAGGATGAGATTAAATCCTTCAACGTTTCATATTATACAAAGCCGGTGTTATAATAAGTACGAGTACGCTGTTGTGCACGAAAGACTATAAGCATCGGTGTAGTATATAAATGTATAAACTATTATTATTTTCGCATAAATTCTGGATTTTCGTTACATAATACTAAAGATTATAATAATATTATATTATGTTATATATATATGTTCCTATTGCGGTTTGCTTATACAAAACAAGAAAAAAAAATGGTTTGACCTTTCATAACACTTTTAGGTTCGGTTGGAAAAAAATCATAGACTCAATGAACTGAAATTGCTCCACCTGTTGTTTGGGCTGATAACACGGTATACTAAAGTATCATATGCGTCGATACTATAATATTTTATTGTTTTACAGTCACAGTGTCATAGTCTTGGTAATCATAATTTTATTTTATTTCCAAAATATGTGTGCCACTCACTTTTCAAGAATTCGCATAATGTATTAATGAAACAATATTGAAAAGAGGAGCAGTGATCCACCTTTTTGAGATGATACACGCTATATGGTACATTATGTATGATTTGTATCACAATATAACGCGGTTGAATGACATACGAAAGCATATTAACATTGTATTATTCATTATTTTGAGGATTTTTATTTATCAAATTCGTAATGTTTATGCTGCCTACTTGATCGAAATTGTTAGTATTATAAATTATTCAGCCCAAGTACATGGTATTTCATATGAATAATAATTATATAATACTATATAGTAGGTACCTATAAATTAATAACTCATTATAATTCCAATATTATAATATAACAGCTAAAATCATTACAATATGACCACTGTAATTTGTTTTGGATATTTTTTATTTTATGCTTACGTATTTACTATGCCTTTGGAGATAAAAGCATTACAACATAATAATATTATGCACTATTAATAATTACCAATCATATGGTATCCAAGCAACTTTCCTGTAACCTCCGTGGATAACAAGGAATTACTATAGCTGTGTATATTATTATGGACGTTTAATAATTTATCTTTACAATTAATTGATCATTCGTCTTTCACATTATCGGTGACGATGACAGCAGACATGCATTCTATCTATCCGATTTCTGAAGTGTTTGTAAAAAATTAGTTACCTTAGTTCCGGTAGGCGAGGGGACGGTTGTTCAACGGGTGTCGGACAGCGGTCATCAGTAATTTGGAATGAAAACCCTCAACGGCCGGCTAAATGGCAAGGACCGTGAAATCGAAATCACAGCAACCGCAGTCAAGTACCAGTGGTGGTAGTGTCGAAAGACGCCAAAATAAGTTCAAATAGTCTATTACGTGTAGTAGGTAGTCGCTATATAGAAACCTACGATAAACACGACTTTCAGTTGATCGAATTCGGCGCAATCAATACGGATTAGGATATAATAACGTTTTAATAAAATTATTTTATAAATAAAAATAATTTTTTTTATTATTAAACCACAATTTTACCAAAATGAAAATAAAAAATATCTTCACCACCAAAACTCCTGTTTACCTGCAGTTAATTTACCAGAAAAATGGCCTCTTGACAGTGCAGTGGCAGTGTAGCTAAATTATCTAAGCAGGACGCCGTGTTACCGTACTGTAATGTAGTAATACAATTATAAGTAACAAAAACATAAGTACCTATACAATTTTAAGTATAAAAATAACATGATAATATTATTAGGCACATCTGTTATGACGAGATACCCAGTTTCTCGATGTCGTTAAAAAAAAAAAAAATGTGAATTATAAAAACACTAGCTGACTACAATGCAATATTCGGTGGCAATATAATTATAAAAGCACTGTTTAATAATTTTATAATATAAGAATAAAAATAAATAAGTAAATAGGTAGGTTTATAAATATATCGATTTATTATGAAATTAATACTAAATGGGTACTCTCGTGTATTATTTACTTATTTAAAATTTAATTACTCGATAGATATTCAATTTTGTACGAAAGTTATTTACTAAGTTTATTGGTCGAATCGTCTTGTAAACTATTTTGCTTATCTTATCTATACGAAATAATATTACAAAATTATACGTCTTATTGGCTTGTATCCAACCGTTTCTGCGAGTACCTCTAAAATTTATTTTTATTCACCGTTAAATCCTTTGCTAATCTGATTTTACGTGTACGATATTACTGTTATTATATAAAAACATTAACGTCGAAAGTATACACGACATTAAATTCGTACGGATCTTTAAGTCGTAAACAACCAAACATAGCAATATTTCTGCAGTATATAAAATGTTTAAGACATTAGTATAACTTGTTCTAAGGAGAGATGAGAGAAATATTAGATTTACAAAGATGTGTTTTTCTTCTTTTTTTTTACCTACTGGTTTTTTTCTGAAAACACTTTTGGGGGTAGTAAAAAAGCTCAAAAAGTTCCATGAAGCACTTTTCTAGATTGGAATTGGAACACAAATATGGCATCTACCTTAAAAGTATTTTTTTATTTTTTGAGTTTTCCCTTAGTGGTTTTCGAGGAAATAACGAATAACAGCAAAGAACGTTTACGATAAAGTATAAATTCTATTATACATAAATTATAATATAAGTATAATATAATAACTTATTTTTAGACAAAATGTTGACTGGTTTTGGTGAACTGAGCTCTGCTCCGAATCGTTTTTCGAATAGTTTATCATTTCTTTAAAATACAAAAACACAACCCTTCCATCCACTATACAATCACCATGTGGGCCTAAACTAACCACAGTGCAGTTATTTTTTAATATTCTGTTATTGCCTATTATATATACTTCCTAATATTTTTCGCTATTTGTGTACACGATTTTTGTTTTGCTAAATTACATACAACTTAATGATTTGTTTTCAAACTTACTCAATAACTCAAAACTAAATATTTTATATTTTAATTAATTTCCAGTAAAACTGGAATTATAACTATTTATAACTAGAAATAAATTCCAATATTATAATTAGTAAAACCCAACTTACCATTCAACGTAATATTCTAGTCATAAATTATATAATCTATTTGTCATCGTGAATTTGATCTTATAATTTATATTATATAATAAATGAAATGTCTCGAAAGTTATATTGTGTTAAAAATGTGTATATTTTCGAAATTATTATTTTTTAAGAACGTAATACGTTTTCATAATACACTAAGTAATACAGACATTTTATACCGACTTTTTCGTTTTCATCAAACTAAATGAAATTGAATATTGGTAATAGAATATAATACGTATTAAACTTCTGAAATGTATTAATTTGTATTAAGTAAAATTTGTATAAATTATTTCTTCAGTCGCTTTATTGCTACGGAAATTAAATGTATAAATATTTATTTATTTATATAGCTATACCATATTATAATTAAACATAAATACCATAAAATCTCTTATAAAATGGAGTGAATATTGTCATTTTACACGGTATAAATAATTTAATAATTTATTAAATCAAAATGCTCATTTAGTTTTTATAATATGTATACCTACTTGTATATTATACCGCAGTGATATTATTTCAACAGAAAACACTGATTTTTCCCTCAGAAACTTAAACTTTTTTCGAAATTTTCAGAAATGTTAGACGCATGCAATATTTATTTGTTCGTGTCACTTACTAATAATTTTTTTTATTAAACTGTAGGATGGGGCGACTGGAGTGATTGGTCGGCGTGCAACGTGTCGTGTGACACCGGCCTGCAGTATCGGCACCGACGTTGTCTGAAGTGCGGGCAAGGGCACAACAAGGAAATGCGAAAGTGCAACGATTTTCCATGCGACGGTAAATATTATTGCAATAGTTGCATAGTTGCATTATGATTCGACAATCGCTTCAACAACAATAACAATAATGATTGTCTTAAAGTATTTCGATATAATAATTTCGGTAAACTTAACTTGCATACAGGTGTCATGGAACTGGTTGCGCCGGGTGACCGCGTGCGCACCGTCGGTGGCAAGCTAAACGGTAGCGAAAATGGGTTCAGTCTTCTCGACACAGTTGGCTTCTCGAACACGTTTTCACTGTTGATCACGCTGAGAGTACAACCAAAAGTAAGTGATCAGTATATTTTGTGATTTAAACATTATGTCAGGTATTTAGGTACTATATATTATTATCTTAAGGAACGCGTACAGTGCGTACATTCAAATAATATACACTGGGTTTTAACAATGGTTCTCTCACTTCTCAGTAGACAGTAACTATACCTTATTTGATAATCGCGATCGAATATATTTTATTTATCAATCGTTTTCAACATTTCGACTCTAAATTATATATTATTTTGGTAAATAACTAGAAACATTTTATGTCCATGATAACATTTTTTTTTTAATTTCCAGACCCAAATTTAGTTTTTAATTCTCAGTTAGAGACTAGAGTACCCAATTAAACACATGTACTTATAGTATATAAAAATGAGAAAATGCAAATTGGTTTTGTACTATTGATATAATATACATTATTATACACTGATCATAATTAATTAATAATGTTGACTACAATGTTAAGTTGACAGTAAAGTAGAGATATAGTAATATTAGGTGAGATTTATTTTTAATTAAGTTAATTAATATTATAATTTAATGATCAAGCACATAACTCGTTTTTTAATAACAATAAAATAATACTGTTTAAGCCTTAAAACTGTATTTAACACTCTGTATTAAAAGAAGTGTCCAGCAAAAAAAAAAATTCTAAAAATAAAATACTTGAGTTTTAATTGTGATGTCATAACATATTTCACTTATTAAAAATCGATTTTAATGCTTATGATGTTTGTATAGTATAATAACATAGGTACCTATTTTATCAGTCACATTTTTAAAATTCACTTGGCAAGCTTATACATTTTATTTATAAATATACCTCTGTATAGTGTACACAGTATAATATATTATAATATGTATACTTACTATATACATCATACTAACTGTATCCATCTTTTCTTGACATAGTAAATACTAAAATTACGCTTGCTTTTCTGTAGAAATGATGTTGAAAACTAAATTCAATTTTATTTTAGGTACCTACTCGCTTGTATTTTATAATAATTACCAACGGACGAAATTAAAATAAACTACTTTCTACCGACTCCCTGCAGCTGTAGCTTTTAACAGGCCGTCATACGCCACTCTTGTCAAAATCGTGTTTTTGGTGTATATCGATAGATATATTAACTGTCTATCGATTCCCGTAATAACAATTGAGGGTTTTTAATTTCATGTTCATATAAACAGATAATAAAATAAGTAATATTAATGAAGGGGGTAGTAAGCAGTATGTCCAAATACTAGAACAAAAAGCAGTAAGTGATCTGGAGTTACTATGCTTTTCTTCCATTTTAAAACACATATTATTATAATAATATGCCAATGATATCGGAAGAACTTAAGGAGTAACTCTAAATAAAAGTGTACAAAATGCTTTTCGTCTTCTGGTTCACATAAGACGATATGCAGTACCTAACCCATAACACAAAAAGTTATGTAAACTTATTTTTTTTTGTGTTCAATATTTTACTCATGAACCATAATATTATATTGAATGGTACATACCATATTTAAATTGTTTAAAAAAATTATATTTTTACTCTACGGGACTAGTTTAGTGTTGAAAACTGTTTTATTGTTTCTTGAAAAACTACGTTTTTGGAGTTCTTGCTTAGAGGCTTATTACGGCCCATTAGAAATCATATTATAATATCATCTAAATTGGATATAATAACATGTCTGTAATCATAAATTATAGGTCATGTATTTAAAGGAGTTTTTCGTTTAATGATTTCCAAATCTATCAAAATTATTGTTATCATCTGTTGTTTCCATAAGTAGTGTTCAACCAGGGTTAATAGCATATTATAACTAAGCATAATATTAAAATGTCATAAACTGGTATGTAATACGAAATTTTGACAAATTTGTTCACGAGAACCGGTTATATAGCTGTTGGTGTATAATATTATAACATCATTATGAAATTATACCGATATGTGATGTCCGAGGCGAACCTCCATAATGACTGTTGTTCATAGTTTTTATCGGTCAATGTGTCATATTATTACCAAAATGAAATTAAAAATTAATATCGTGATTTGCTTCAATAATATTGTAACATGGCCAGTGGATATAAAATTCTCAATACACCGTCCTAACTATAATCCCACTGGCACGAGTGGCGCATATGTATGGACAATATACCGGATGTTTCATTTATCGAGAGACACTCATTATTTAAAAACTATTATCATTGTTTTTTGAAAAAAATATTTTTTAATAATTTTAAGTTGTTATAAAATCACATAAAAAAAAAAATTGTTATTAGGTTTTACTTTTTAAATAACAGCATAGGTACTAGGTAGGTAAAATTGTAATTCTTTAATACAAAACAAAATATATTTGCGTGGACTTTGATGTATAAAAACAAAATTTTGAACTAGTATTTTATGAATAAAAAGTATTAAAGTTTTGATAAGTGGAGTGGAGTGACATACCCCGCAAAATTATGGTCCACTAATCCGATCATCAAAACTTTAAATACCTGTAACTAACAACTTTACTATAGGTACTTATTACTCGTCCAAAGTTTGATTTTTATATTAAAATTTTCCGACTATTGGTTCTACTTTGAAACATGAAATTAAAAATATACGTTATCATTAAAAAAAAAAAAACAATATTAAAGACAAAAAAGGTGGGCAAGTGGTGTCGCTCTGCTGTACAGTAGGTTACAAGTGGGTCACTGTATAATGGATGGTATTACATTTGAATTCAATGATATTATATCATTGTATAAGAAAAACGATTCTGAGCGGAGACGGTATGTCCTTCTAGGTATAAGACATATTATATACTTATCTATGGTATTAAATAAAATCGACCTTCAATGAATTCAAAATTGATCATATCACAATATCCATTAGGTACTTATAACGCTTTATACACCAACAACGAACCCTGATACTATCATAGATATATAATAGTACACTTTAGAAGTTTCAAGTACCCACGAATAATATTATTCAATCACAACAAAATAACTAAAATAGTTATTCTAGGTTTTTTAATATGTAATTTCGTCCAAATTTGAATTAAAAATGTCTGTAAAAAATAACTGTGTTCATATATTTCTTAGATTTTTTGGTTACAGTATGAACTATTTATGAGAACCTTTGTTTTAAATTTTCAATCCTTAGCTATAAAAACTGAACATTTTATAATTTATTAATTACAATGATTGATAATTTTCAATATTTTGATAAATTTTGTCGAAATTCAATCTTTAAATATTTATAAAAAAAAACTGTGCCTATGTATTTTTAATATTTTTCAACTGATATTGTAACAATATATCAGGAGCCTTGTATTAAATTTTTAAACTTTTTGGCCCAACAGATGAAACTTTATTGATATTTATAGAAAAAAAAAAACTAAAAAAAACTGAAAGCTGTAAATGTCCGTAAACAGCTCAAAAACAGTCAAAATATTTTCAAAGTTGTATGGTGTATAGGAAATGCTAATTTAAACATTCATTGAAATTTTCATTTATCTACAGTTTATATTTCGTTTTTGAATTGCAACAAAATAAGGAAATCGCTACATGAGAAATCGAGTGAATATCCAATGTTGTAAAAATTTGAATTTCAAACGATCATACAAATTTAATTTGACTTTCCGGTAGAGATTTTTTTATTGATAAAGGTAGACAAACTTATGAGTAATCTTGTATTAGATTTTCAAATCTTAGATTTAAAAAGAAAAATTTTTACGAATTCTTAATTCAAAATAATTTGCTAATTTTCGTGATTTTTCCATATTATGTCAATTTTTGAACTTTAAATGCTTATAAAAAAAATTGTGACTAAGGATTTTTAATATTTTTCATCTGCCTTTGAAACAATATACTAGGAGCCTTCTATTAAATGTTCAAGCTTTCGAAACCAACAAATAAAATTTTATTGATATTTTTAGAATAAAAACTAAAAAAAAAGGAAAATGAAAATGTTCAACAGTTCAAAACAGAGTTACACCAAAAACCAAATCGATTTTTTGGAAAACAGATTTTGCTTAAAAATTCCCGTTATTCCTTAATTTGTATGTGTTTAATCCCGGCGCTTGTGAAAACTATTGGCAATTTTAAAATTCGACCTGCCGAATGCATCAACTAGATTCACTTTCCAATCGAACAAGATACTGAAGTTGAAAATCGAAGCATTATTTCGACTACTTATCGGGTACACGGACACAAAAAAAATAAAAAAAAACAAACATCATTGAAAAATCAATACATTCATCGTTCCACTCAGAATCTAAAATCCGTATTTTCTCAGTGCTATTGTTTTAAAAATATATTAGAAAATATATATATGTAGAAAAAACACTTCTGATCGCCATGTTGTATAATAATATAATATATGACTATATACAATACAAATATAATATAATATATTTATCTAACAAAATAAAAACCAAAGTATTTTGTTATAATAGTATGACACATAAGTAATAATAATATATAATATTATGTTATGTTTTTATGAAACCAGTAGGTACAATGTTTGTTAGTATTACCCGTTTTTCGATTAATATTTTATTTATTTATTTTTAATTGAGATTTCAACCAACCGTTATCCCGTTATCCCGACAATTATGGAAAATAGAAGATAAGTTAATTACAATATTACACAAATCGGTTAATTTTAAATAATTATAAAATATGAATAGTTATTAGTACTCATACATAGTGATATTCAAGATGTGTGATTTTAAAATAATAATAACAAATACTACCAGGTAGACATTAATGATTTTCTGAGTACATGATTGGTTATTATTGACCATATTTAATAATTTGTGTATTATAAATACGGATATGTGAATGGATTTAATGATACAATATGCTAGGTTTTAAGCAAGAAAGAAATTTTGATGAATTTTAAGTTAAGATTTTGAGGTTAACCATTAGGTTTAAGACCAATAGTAACAGAAGCATATGAAGTGACGGATTGGCCTGATGACATTCCTAAATGGAGTAGGTATATGGCTCAGAAGAT